GTGATGATGGTGGTAGTCGTGGTGTGGTGTGGTGGTGGTGGTGCATGGTGATGGCGGTGGCGATGATGGTGGTGGTGGTGGTGATGGTGGTGGTGTGGTGGTGGTGAGAGAGAGAGAGAGAGAGAGAGAGAGAGAGAGAGAGAGAGAGAGATAGCGATACTGAGTGAAGATAAGATAGGAAGAGAGAGCGGGGACGAGGAAGCCCCCCCCCCCCTTCCGTGTGGCGCGCTCCGAACGATGTGTCCCTCTTCTCAAAAAGACGTTGACGAAGATAAGAGGGAGAATCGAGGACAAAGAGCTTCGAAATTGGATTGTCTCTCGCGTTCGCTAAATAATTCACCTCGATATTCGCAGCGGACGGCCGTTAATTTATCCGCCGAGCGCTGTATCTGCAGAAATCCTAGCGTAGAGTCTGCATCTAATTCGTGTCGTGTTGAATGTGGGTCATGCGGTCTGTAATTTCTTTGAAGAGCGCATCGTGCGTTTCGTTTCGGGTGCAATTTTCCGCGATATTGAGCATTGAGCCAAATTACGTCTAATATATTCAGTATTTCGTAGCGTTATTGCCATACCCCCGTCGCCGTCACCGCCGCCACTGTCACCGCACCACCATGCGGCCGACTCACGGGCGCCATGATGGCTAGCCTGAAGCATAATAATTCCCTGTCACTGCAATAAGCACGCACCCTAGAAACTATAGCCCGTCTTTCGGCTCGGACGAACTGCCTATGCAGGGGGATATTTCCACACATATACATTCTTACTTATACTACCTCACCCCAAATCCGCACGCCTCCGAAGTCAAAACCGCGTAAACGGCAAGGAGACACAATGCAAAGAAGAAAGGAAAAATCATATGCGTGATGTATGCGCGCGTACACGCGTGCGTATATGAGCCAATTGGTCGCGTATTTGTCTTAGTAACAGTAATAAAGTACTATCTTGATAATCTTCATCATCAATATCGTCCTCATCATCATCATCATCATCATCATCAGCAGCAGCAGCAGCAGCAACAGCAGCAGCAGCAGCAGCAGCAACAGCAGCAGCACCATCGTCACGACAATCAACAACAGCAGCAGCAGCGGCTTCAAATGCAATAGGAGTAGCAGTAGCAGCGGCATCAACAGAAGCAGCAGAAGGAGGAGAAGGCGGAGTAGGAAAAAGTGGGAAAGCCACAGCAGCAGCAGCAGCAGCAGCAGCAGCAGCAG